AATTGCACATTTACATTCCCACATTTTCTCCTATTCAAGACGGTATAATCAGATTCTAAAAATGACGTTTTGTCTCTTGTCCTCCAACATCAACTTTATTTTTCTTATGGGCGCCATATTGGATTTTTGCACAGATAAATAGAGGGTGCTGTTGCGTCTTCTGATTTCACTGCTTTTTCACTTGAAACTTATAGAGGGTAGTCTGATACATTATTTTAAAACAAAAAAAGTGTGGATGAAGGACGCTTTTTATGAATTTTTTTCCTAAAACACTGTATTTTTAGCAGCTATTTTCACCATTATTTCAACCACCATCAGCCATATGACATCTGTGCATAACGTCATATGAGAGGCGCTAGACTGCGGTGTTGCCGGATTGGCTTCCGCATGTAGAGAAAAATATGAAAAGTGTAAAATTTATATACATATACTTTGAAGTTGAGTCATTAATTTTCAGATAATGATTGTAGAAGGAAGATAAACCAAAATATGTGTGTAAAAATAAAAATAAAAATTAAAAAAAATGTTACCTTGTTTTATAAAGTATCCTCCCGACAAGTATTTCAGTGCGGACCAGTATTTGATCGTGAGGTCTTGGAGCACCGGCATGCCCTCCCCTGTGAGGTCTTAAGTCACCTGATTCACGAGCCCTTTGTACTACATTAATAAAGGCACGAGGAGTTGGTTGCACTCGATTGGGACACCGATCCGCATAAAGACCCCCCCCCCGTAAATAAGAATCATGTCCACAAGTTCAGCATTTTCGTAAACATGTGCATTTTTTATTTCGTTTGAGCCACGCAACAAACACCACTATTCACTCACGCGTTACCGACTGACACATCGACTGACTACAACTGAATAAAGTTGTAGTAAAAACATCGTGATAAGCGTTTCAAATGCTTTCGCTTTTTTGTTTCCAATGCGATGAACGGATAAGGCGGATTATATCCGTTGTTGCCAAACACGAGCACATAATATTATTATTGAGACAGGGCGGTACTCAAACTTCTAAAGGGCTATAAGTTTGTTACTTTAATTTTACCAGAAAAATGTTAAAGGAAAAAAGCATTTCTTTTGATCAGATCTACTCACTGTTAAAATAAATGACTCAACTTTGAAGTATAGTCACTTTTAATAACTCTAATCAGGGTAAGATAAATAATTATCCGAAATATGAAGACAATCCATTATTATTATTAAAGTTACCATATTATCGCCTAACGTGAGAAGAACGAATAAATTTTCTAACGATTACGTCCCCTTCAAATAACTTACCAAACAAACGTAGCACAAAATCCCCCAAATCACATTATCTTAATTTGGCGAGCAACCCCCCTGGCAAAAATGAGTCATAATTTGAAGACAAAGGAAGGCATCGATCATACCGAGTCAAAGTTATAACGTTTTTCAAGCTGCAGAGGAGCCTTAATTAATTAACAAGGAGAAAAGCTTGACTCCATAAAACGCGCACCCGTTTGAAATAATTCACAAATCTGCTAATTTAATTGAGGTGGCCTACATTTTCACCTTGAAAATGAGATTTTCGCAGAGCGCGAAAAACTGTATAAAGGAGCCGAGAAGAAAAGACGGAGGCCGTTGGCGCTTTTTGCATTATGAGGTTAGCTGGGGAAAAGTAGCTTGTAAGATGGGAGGAAATATACTATACAGGGTTATCCAAATTAAGTGTCCACCATTGGTAACTTTGTTATTAGTAAAAATACAAAGTTGTTTAAATTAGCAAACTAGTAGCATTTTTAACGCTGGTAAAAATGAGAAATAAAAAAAACAATTGAGAGTCGTTATTTTGATTTTTTTCAGTAAAATAACATTTTTTTAAATGGAAACCCCTGTATATTATATTTTTTTCTGTTAAAGCATCAAATTTTAAACAAAAAAGTTCATAATGACTTTTCCGCTAAAGTCAAAAATAAAGTAAAAAAAAAACGATAAATATTTTTAATTATTTGCAGTATTATAATATTAAGACGGCTATGAAAACAACATGGCGTTCGCGATTTGACAGCATTAAGATAAGCGACAAATTGTTAAACTGCACATACTCGCAACTAGAAGGCTTTGGAAAACAATGATAAAATCAAATAATGTCAAACATTAGTGTAAATACTTGTTTATAAGCTTTATTGTGTTATTAATTTAAAGAAAAATGTTCTCCCATGAAGAAAAGTGTGATATGTTAGAATGCTATTTAGTGTGCAGAAAATCCTCCTTGAGAGCAAGAGAATACTACAGTGAATTATATCCCGCTCGCATTCAACCGTATGAACGATATTTTCTGAGACTTTATCGAAAATTTAGGGGCAACGAAAATGTTTTTGCTAAAACAAGGGCAAAAAAAGAATTCATAATAAGCGAGGCCACGGAAATTGCAGTTATTGGATATTTTGAAGCTTATCGTGAGAATTCAATAGCAGATATTCTCAAGGACTCTAATTTCAGTTATGGTACTGTTCAAAGGATTTTAAAAAAATACAAATTTATTCCGTATAAGTACCGACCAGTTCAAACGCTTTTGGCAGGGGATCCAGAGAGAAGACTTGTTTTTTGCCATTGGTATCTTAGCTTCTGTCGCCAAAATGTAAATAACTTTCGTTACCTTTTATGGACAGATGAATCAAATTTTTCAAATTCTGGAAAGTTTAATAGAAAAAACCACCATTATTGGTCAAGAGAAAATCTTTTGTTAGTACATCCAAGAGGCCCACAAGTCCGTTTCAGTTTCAACGTTTGGTGCGGTATAATTGGTTCAAAAATTGTTGGCCCGTTCTTTTATGAGGGAACCCTAACTGGTGAAAGATATGTGGAATTTATGTCAGAAATTCTGACTAATTTCTTAGACGAATTGGATCTTATAAGTAGACATCATCTGCATTTTCAGCAAGATGGCGCACCTGTCCACAACTCCAGAGGTACTTATCATTTTCTAAGTACTACTTTTAATGATCAGTGGATAGGAACAAATGGCCCAAAACAGTGGCCTCCCAGATCACCAGATCTAAACCCACTTGATTACTTCTTGTGGGGTTACTTAAAGAACCAAATTTACAAGCGAAGGTACGATAACCTTGACGCGTTAAAGACTGCAGTTAGGGAAAAGATAACCCAGATAGATGGTAGGACCATACTTAAGACAGTTCGAGCAGTTGAAAAACGTGCCCAAAAATGTATTGAAGAACAAGGTGGTGTTTTCGAGCATCTTCTTTAAAAAAAATTGTTATTGTATTTTGTAAGATTATAAGTTGATGTTGAAAATAAAGTTTGTCGATACAATTTAATTGTTTCAGATTGGAGGCCATAACTTCAACAATTTGTAAACTAGGAGAAAAGTTATTGTAAGCTTTTTTGTTTAAAATTTGATGCTTTAACAGAAAAAAATATAATATACAGGGGTTTCCATTTAAAAAAATGTTATTTTACTGAAAAAAGTCAAAATAACGACTCTCAATTGTTTTTTTTTATTTCTCATTTTTACCAGCGTTAAAAATGCTACTAGTTTGCTAATTTAAACAACTTTTTATTTTCACTAATAACAAAGTTACTAATGGTGGACACTTAATTTGGATAACCCTGTATACTACAACAAATGTCTGGGAAAAAAATTAGTAGAGCTTCCCAATACAACGAAGAAAAAGTGATTTGAAATACAATACTGTATTACATTACTAGCTCCGAGTATCTGCCGTTCCCATAATGATCATTGGTACTTAGACTGTTTGATTACTGTGTTAAAAGGGTAAAAAAACCTGGTAAATAAATATCAATCAGAAAACGAATTTCACTGAGTTTGAGAACTGCGTATGTGTCATGTCAACGTATCAGAAAAATTGTGATACTTTTTAGCTATCCAAAAACGTATATCATATCTGTTATCAATCAAAGACATACGTTTTTTCTTCAAGACACCGGTGCACCTGACGCCGAAATCAGACACCCATCTCTACACCTGTCACTTTTGACGTTGATATGCTTGACAATGGCATTATGGTATCAAAATAAAATATTTGTTCCTTGTTTTTAACCATCGATTACAGAATGATTCGCTAGAGGCATTGATTATTGTGGCGGCTCCATCTCTCAGTAACATTTTTAAAAAATACAAAAATCTCAACTGCAGTAAATGAGAAAAATGAAGTTTTAATTGCACTGTCAATAGGCCAATGTTGAAGTTTGCGTTTAAAATTGGCCATTTTCTTTTTATAAAATTTTAGTATGCCCAGTGCCGTTTGAGGTGTGGTTTGTGAAATAGAAATTTCAAAGTTCAGATAAAAAACCATTTTGTTCATCCAGCCTATCGAGCACTCAATCTCTCTAGAACCGAAAAATATTAACCTGGTAGGATATTCCGCATAGGCGATCAAAGAAGCGATCACAGTTCTCAATGCATCGACAGATTAACTAGCAAAGGCCTGGCGGGTCCGTCTAGCAGGCATAAAACGTGACGTCATCGTCGAGGAAGACTCAAAGAAGCAACAAGTTTGTTGGCATATTCATAGTATTCAAAGGATTCGAATAAAGTAAACATAATGGTTGTTAGCAAAATATAAAAAAAACCTAAGAATTTCAAAGAACTGCGAGAAACCATCGTCGCATTACCAAGTGCCAAAACCTGCAGTTTGCCTTAGTTTTCCGCCATAAATAACTTTTTTGCTATTAGTCCGATCTTCTTACGTATGGTGTCAATTTGTAGGTCTCACAAATACCTAAAAATCTTATATGAAGAGTTTTGTCGTTCCTCCCAACACTTTCGATTGAATCCCAAAAAACACGTTTTCTCATTCTTTGTTGTCGAAAAAAAAGTTTTCCGACAAAAATTGATGTACCCATTTTATGCGTCCATGTTTTGAATACCTCCTTGAACAACTTACAGCAGTAAAACCAGAATTAACAACCCGGGGTATTTTTTTTCTATTATGATATCACTAACTTATGAATATCCCATTTTAAATGGGGATCCACGAAGGTCAATAAAAGAACCTCACCTTCTGAAGTCCCTGCTCCAACACGCGTATATGACAGGATTCATGCTGGAATTGATCCATCCCAACCACGTGACTATGGCCAAAACGATCTTCTCATTGCTGATGCACTGTATGCAGAACCCGGACAGCAGGTTAACAACGAAGAACGGCAACCAGCATATCACAAACACACCCATCACTATACCCAAAGTCTTGGCGGCCTTCTTCTCTTTGGCGAATTTCGCCAGCTTGCGACTCAGTGAGAAGTTTTTGTTGTGCGGGTTGAACCTGCAAGGGAAAATAGTACGTTACATAGCTAGGTGGGGAAGTGAACCTTTATCGGAGGAGTATTTTTTTATCCTGAGACGCACAGCGCCAAGGAATATGATGCGAGATTATACTATAGAGCAGTGGTGACCAGCCAAAAAGTTGTAAAAGTCATAGAAGGTTCCATAAATTTTGTAAATTATCATAGCAATAGCTATTTAATTCGATATGATTTTCTGTTTCTTTTCTAGTTTGTATAATAATTAAAGCAGTGCCAATTTTATTAACGGCCACCACACACGAAAATCAAACATTGATGGCAATAACCAAATACGATGGTGCAACACAAATGAATTTTTGATGAAGAATTAATTTTACGTTCAGACCAATCTATTAAATAAATAAAATGATTATAAAATAATTAGTTAATTAATTCGCTTCCGGTGTAGTGTCTATTTAACTGGAATTTCATAGAACGATAAAACATGGATTGCTATCTCTCAGCCAAGTCACATATAGTCAACGCCAAACAAAGTGGCGTGCACGTCATCAAGGTGGGTGTGTTGAAAAATTTACATTGTTGCCAAACTTTTTGTAAAATAATAAAATTTATTATTTACATATCTAGGTTTATAAGCAATATTAACCTCAAATGAGAACAAAAATAATAGTATAATAAAATTATAGATCTGTACTTGCATAATCATTAAGTATGACAATTATTGATTAGATGACACTATGAAACTACCATATTTAATTGATAGCTTAAAGGTACTGAATAAAAATCCAAATGGGGTCCTCCAAATTTTATGCATGGTATTTATTTTACAGAATTCATACAGAAAAATGCATTCTAAAATTAGGTAAGCTACTGGTGTAAGCTTTTTCTGTACAATAAAGTTAGTCGGAGTTTCTTTCTTCAGCGCTGTCTGAATCTGAATCTTCATCACTCTCAAAGTTGATTATTAAAGGTTCGATGTCTGGTCGATCAAAAATTCGTTCTCTTTCATACCATTTAAAAATTTCTTGCTCAGTATGTCGAACACTATTTTTCCACATGTCTGGGGTAACCGTTTGTAGAGCCTCGTTCCACATATCCAAACAGTCTTTTTCACTGTTACCATCTCTACCAATATGTCTGTTATAGTAACCTTTTGCTATGCCCCAAATTAACTCAATAGGGTCAAATATACAATGGTAAGGAGGCAGACGAAGAACTTTGTGCCCATGTTATTCCGCCAATTCATCAATCACGTATATTTTAGGTGGTTTGTTTCTAAAAAAGCAGTTATTTTAAGAATAGGAATAAACAAAAGAAATATAAACTGTCGACCAAAATATATATAATTAAGAAGCATTATGTACCGAGCAACAATACTCAATAGCTCTGTTTTAAACATTGTGTTTAAAAATGGTATGTTTTGATTTGTCAACCAGTCGTGGATATTTTTTTTTTGTCCATGCATTGTTGGGCACTTTGTTCAATATCATGCTGTGATAAGGGGCGTTATCCAGTATAATCATAGATGGACTCTCCAATTTTTCTAATAACTGATGTTGAAACCATTTCAAAAAATTGTCCTGGTTCATCTCTCCATGGTAATTGCTCAATTTTGTTTTCGAAGAAAATATCGCTTCACTACCCTCAATAAACCCATTTTAATTTCCAGCATGTAATATAATGTATCTAAAATATATTAGTTTTAAATTTTATAGTGCAAATTGTGTAAAAGTACATACCTTTTACCATCTGTTTTAATAGCTTTCACGCTTTTTTGGTTTCCATTTTGCCAAGAGCGACCTATGGTCCCATTTTGAAATATCCAAGTTTCATTGAGGAAGACAAACTGGTATAAGGCCTCAACTTTGGCTTGATTGTATTGCCTTAGAAATTCCACCCTTTTCAAAGCTATACTTGGTAATTCCATGAGCCCTCGTCGCGGATTGTCCTTTAGCCACTTAAATCCAAGATCTCTAAGCAACCGCCTTAAAGACGTGGCACTACCATCAAATCTCTTAATCGAGACCATAAAGTTTGTATCGTAACTTGTTCTTCTGAAACCATGTGTAATATGACATTATAATTTAGTTAACAAATTAATGCAAATTTCTGATAAGTTATTATAATAAGATCTTACTTTTGTGATACATATTATAGATCACTTCTCGAATGGCACTTGTATCCAATGTCGCTGTGTTGGTTACACGTTTAATATAACTCCGCTTTTCACACCCTCGGAAATACGACTAACTGTCCTTAAACTAATTTTTAAAGCAGCAGCAACACGCTACAAAAAATGAAATAAAATTTCACTATTATTAATATACATTACATATAATTATTAGTAACCTACCTCTTGAACAGCATTTAAAGGCAACAAAGGCCCGTTGTTGTCCCTTTCTTGCTCAAAGTAGTGCATTAACGAGGCCACGAGTTCCTTACACCGACTATTTAACTGTTTGGGCATCTTTATATACCAAAATTGCCTTTATCTACTCGTAAAATGAATAATTTTGTTTTGAAACAAACAGTTGTTGATTTACAGTATGCGGGGCCAAAGGATTTATAAAGATTTGAAATGCCACAAATTGATTCAGTGTCAAAATTAATACAAATGTCAGTTCCCAGTTTAAATAAGTTTCAAGGTGACAATGTGTCAACGCTGCGAAATCGGTTTAGTGCGTTTACATGTCGATAAGTGATTGGAGCGTTTGCAAAACATTTTATTTCGCATAATGCGTCTAAATTTATCAGAAAGCAACTTATGTGATATTTTAATAACAATGTTTATATGACTATTAACCATAATAAGAGAGTAATGACCATTTTACAATTTATATATCACATTAATATGAAACTGCAATAGAGCAATTGTTTGTGATAGAAACCTAGGCATTAGGTCGGGGAATTTTTATCGTGATGACGTGCACGCCACTTTGTTTGGCGTTGACTATAGGCATGTCTTTTTTTAAAACTGCTAACCGAAAAAGTACGGGTCAAGCTTGATATATGACAAGCAGAGTTAACGTTTCATAAGAACTGATCGCAAATGACAGCTTTGCTAGACTAAACCGTCAAAGTAACAAAAACGCTCGAAGACTAGAGATAAGAGGCTATGAGGTATGAAGCCCATACTGTCGATAAGGAGGGCGCGGCTCTAGGAAGCCTGGTGCGCGTAGAGCATGGCGTTGAGCGCTTGCACATGAGGCATTTCAGCCTACCTATTAATTAATTTTTCATAACCTCGTGCTCGTGCTCAAATGTTGATTTACAAGTTCTTGCCATGGAAAATGATGATAAGCAGTATCAAACAATTTTTTCAAATTTGATGTGAAAAGGTACTGCAAACAAATAACGACATTACCAAATGCCAAGGGAATGTTCCAAAATGATGAGAAAATAATTATAACAAATATCGCAAAATCCTGATTCCCAAGGTTGTTCATTTCACTCGCGTTGTCGGTACATTAATATTGAGCAATACTATGGCTTCACCATCTATGAGCCTAGTCTCCTATCTCTAGTCTTGTTGCAAAAATGTTCGCTAGTTGCGGCAGTTTCGCTATTGTAATATAGGAGAAGATTGTAGAGAAAATATGTGCACCGTTTACAACTATTATTCTGGTGCTTCATGTTATCTGTATTCTGTATCTGTGAAAATCAGACAAAACTATATTACCTTGTAGATGTGTGCCTAGATAAGCCATTGTTTTGTAAAGCTGTCAATGGCTCATCCTCACCGCAAGTATACAGCTGCTTAGCATCTTGTTGAGCTTTGCATGTTGTCCCACCACCTCTGTGGATCCTTAAATCAAAGACAGGAATTATTAGAATCCAAAACACGCAAAAGATAAAAGTCTGCTAACAAAGTTTGCCGCGTCAGATCTGTAATTATGATGACCCCTGGTTTCTGTCATCTCCGCCCTTTGACGAAGAAAAGGTTCCTAACAAAGAAAGCAGAGCTATAGGTCTTTAGTGGTAGATGCCGATCTTAGATTCTCTTTTTTGTTGTACGGGCTGGAGATGAGTGAATACACAGTTTTCTAGGAACGTGTCGAATTGGAAGAGACGAAAAAGAACTAGAGCAATTTCCGCTGCATATCTCTTCAGAAGCTTTGTTGATGTTGAGCGACATGAGCATCTGTCTTATGCCTGAAGGATCCCTTTGAATCAACGGTAGTCGGTAGTGGAGTTTACAGCAAAGATCCTGGCAAGCACTTAGCCCTGCAGCATTGGCACTGAGTGGGTTGATTTCTGAGGTTTACTCAGGATTTTTTTACACTTGACCCACCACAATATCCATTCATACCTTGGGGCTACAAGGAGATACCGGAGAAAAGATTTCCCCATTGCACATGGACTCCGGCGAAGGCATTCAGCCATTCTGATCTCGCTGCTTTTCATCATAAGAGAAGCATTGGAATCATTCCTTAATGTTGATTGGAGACTATTGTTTTGATCGAAGATACATTTTTTCCAGAAACTTCTACTTGTTTTTGTTTTGAAAAATTCGGTTGCTACATTACGCGTCTTACCTGAGCGTGAGTTCCAGCTCCCCAGATCCGAGCAGAATCTGCTTGGTGCCCAGCCTCAGCGACCTCGTCTGGGCCACGGCTGCTCTGTAGATCCTGAAGTAGGTGAACAGCATCACGAAGAGCGGAAGATAGAAGGAAATTGTGGAAGAGAAGATCAGGTAGCCGAGATGCTCCGTGAAGGGACATTGGAAAGCAGGAATGGGCGCAGTGCGGACTGCTCGCCACCAAGCGATAGCCGGGAACGAGATAGCGCTACTGCATACCCAAACGCCGGCTATCAAGATGGCGGACTTCACTTTGGTCATACGCATCGGGTAGGCGATCGGATCTGTTATCGCCCAGTATCTGCAAAAAACATTAAATTCAACACATCACAAAGTGATCAGAAAGGATGAACTGAATATGGTTGCTTTCCGTCTCTGTAACCAGGACCAACCGTAGACACCGCTGTTTGGCAACTCATTAGATAGGAACTTAAAACATACTCCACTTGGTCACATAAGGACATGCTACAGTTTCAATTAAAGAACTTAAAACCCATACCTATCCAACGAGATGACACAAAGATTGAGAATGGAAGCTGTGCTGAAAAGAACGTCCAAGCTTCTCCACACATCGCACCATTCGGCTCCGAAGAACCACGTGTGTCCAAGCACCTCATAGAGGGCACTAAAGGGCATCACCACCAAACCCACCAAGCAGTCGGCTACTGCTAGTGAGACGATGAAGTAGTTTGTTGGTGTGTGAAGATACCTGAAACAAGATAAGATGGCGTTGGATAAATAAAAAAGAACTTATATACTCGACTTAAAGTTAAGGTATCATGACACAGATAGTTAAATACGCGTGTATGCTCCCTCTAATATATTGTGATACGGATAGTTGGTTATATGCATATGCTTTATATGTACACAACTTAGCTTCAAGTATCGGAGAATCTGCCGTAATTGATGATTTCTTTCTCGTATAAAATAACGTATAACTGAATTTGATCATCATAAGAACGAACAACCTTGTACGTCTTTATGTCCAGACTAGAGCAAGATAACACAGTCAACGACAGAAAGTTGTCAGTTTTGAGGTGCGCGACGTTAGACGACATGTATTTTCATTTCAAAAACATGGAACCTGAGGTGCAGCTTAGCTCGAGACAGGGTGGTGTAATCCTTCATAGACTCAAATGTCCTTCAAACATCGCCTGAAAAAGACGAGGCCAATGAAGCCTCTTTTGGTATACCTCTTCTTTAGCAACAATTTTATTGTTCTTTGTTCCACCTACCTTTCTCTAACGACGGCCAATATGACCAGAGTATTTCCGAAAACCGTACAGGCCGAAAAGAGTAACAGCAACGTGACCACAAGCGCTCTATCCTCGATGAGCTGACTCCATTTGGCCCAGGCGTCTGCCGCTTCGTCCGCATACCCGCCGCTGGAATTCACCGCGGAAGTCCAGTTCGCGTCCGCATCGACGTTGTAGGTGACGTTCGGGAGGAGCTGCAGGTAGTAATACTCGGAGTTGTTCATATTACACCGATGCAAGCGAGCATTTCTGAAACAAGGGGGAAAAGTTTGTACGTACTGAATAATAAGATACGCACTATGGAAGAAAAATAGAATATAACAAAACACTTGGCAAAAGTGAAAAAGTTACCCTAGATATTGCTTACTTCGCAAATTAGTAGTTTTCGAGACACATCAAAATATTGGTTTTTCTCTTTTTTTAGTCGCGAAGGTATAAGCCTAAATGCCAGGGCACCGCGGTTGCTATGACGAGCTTGAAGACACTTTGTTCATCTTACTTTCGAACTGTTCAAGACTAGAAGAACTGGGAAAAGACTCCTCTTGTAGATTGTCACAGAATCTCGATAACCTAGAGATAAAGGAGCGGTCGTATTGGTCAGTTCTGGATAGACGACTCTTACCATGATCAACTGAGATTATATTACGGCAAAAGATAAAACAACATTTCTGTACATTCTCTCAAAAGCTAATAATGTGCAAAGTAACCAACTTCATACAAAATTAACCTTATACGTCAATCACGATGAAATTATAGAAGTGGTGGTTTCCTGTTGAATACATTCACTTTTTTCTGACATTCAACTCTAGTTCTCTCTTTTGACCACCATATACTATTTGTTACCTAAACCCTTAACAAAATCTATTAAAGTAGATCCATTACTAAAAAAACACCGCTACAAATCATGACAAATTATCATCATTATTGAAATTTAATAAAACACATTTTAATCTTTCCATCTGAATATTTCGAAAACTAAGTATTTCCGGAAAAAAGCTTTAAATAAAATTTATAGGGTTTCGAGGCGATAGAGTGGTGGAGACCTTGACGATGACCTTGACAGTATCCTTTGAAAGAGCAGGAAATCTCACATCCGACTATAACCTTAACTACGATCATTACCTTGACCTTGAAGGTCGCTACAAGGTGAAATTAGAGCATTCCTCTAAAAAAATTTCCGAAAGCACAGTTATGAGCTTTCTGGAGGACATCGGACAATAGCCTTGACCATAATTTTCAAGGTCATGCCAAATTTCAAATATAAAATTTCTCGCTTTCTGCAATTTTGTAATAAGAATTAAGGGGCTGCCTTATAAATAACATTAAAGATTGACGTAGCCTTGATCTTAAGGTCAAGGTCACATTCAGGCGATTGATTTCTTGCCTTTCCAATTCCAGGATGAAAATGAGGGAAGCTCTTTACTTGGCTTTAAAGGTCAAAGACGAACCCACAAACTTCAGAACTGTGTTGTCGAATGCTTTTTTCGGAGCAAATTGTTTTCAACGTCTTCACTTGAACTTGAAATGGCCTTGAAGTTCATAATAATGCTCATGGTCAAGGTCATAGTCTGACGTAGACTTTTCGGCAATTTTTTAGTACCGGTGAAATCGATTGACCTTGAAATGACCTTGAAGGTTATAGTCGAGATCTCTTTTATATTTTCTACTCGAAACCTTACAGCTTTTGTTTGAAATTTTTTCTCTAGGATGCGTAGTGTCCAAGGCCATACCAAATTTCGCACGTTTAAATACAAAATTATTTGCTTGTCGCAATTTTCGCATAAGAATAAAGATGTTGCCTTAAAAATAACGTTCAAGATTGACGTAACCTTGAGGTCAAGGTCACATTCGGACGTAGGATTACTTGCCTTTCCAACTTCTGGATGATAATAAGGGAGAATTTTTACTTGGCTTAGATCATGATCAAGGTTAGAACCAAGGTCACCTAAAGACGAACCAATAAGCCTATCAACTGTGCGGTCGAACGTGGTTTCAGAACAAACTGTTTTCAATGTTCTTACTTGAGATTGAAATGGCCTTGATAGTCATAGTAATGGTCATGGTTATCATACTCCGATGTAGATTTTTCTCATCTCTTCAATTCCGGTGTAACAAGAAAGGTTACATTTGAAAGTATCTTCTTGACCTCCATGTATCTATACAGTTTTTGCTTGGAATTTTTTTCTAGGTTGCGAAGTGTTCAAGGTCATGCCAAACTCCACACGGTTTCCTTGAAAATAACATCCAAGATTGATGTGACCTTGACTTTGAAGTTAAGGTCACATTCGGACATATGATTGTTTGCCATCCCACTTCTTTAATGAAAATGAGGTAAGCTCTGGGCTTTGAAGGTCATGATCAAGGTCACCTAAAAACTATCCCACAAACCTATCAACTGTGTTGTCGAATGCTTTTTTTTTAGAGCAAATTGCGTTCAATGTCTTTAGTTGAGCTTGAAATGGCCTTGAGGGTCATAATTAGAGTCAAGGTCATACTATATTTTCCTTCTTTTTCCAATTCTGAAGTAACAAGAAAGGTTACATTTAAAAACATTTGCTTGACGCTAGTTAGTCGAGATGACCTTCATATTTCCCGCTCGAAAATTTTGTTTAGAACTTTATTAGAATAAGCAAGCTGCAGTAGCTGCAGTTCTACGTGTACATATAGCCTCAACTTCCATCGAATTTTTCACCGTTTATCAGTTGCTCCATTTTCCCGTAAAGCTATTTGTTCCCTCCCGTCTCACATCCACGTATTTAGTGTCTCGGAGGTGGCATTAAGTCAAATGGGCGGCTTCCTGAGAATCGACTACTGACAGGTATATCAATCTCTCGTAATGGGATAGATTGATATAAATGTTCGGGTTATCCTTCGTGCAGGTAACTGTTCAGGAAAATGATGAATCTTTATTTGAGAATTTTCCAGAAATAAAACATGTGCTTTATAGTAGAAGTAGGGTAATTATTCAAAGGATTCCATCTCTCTATGGCCCGATTTTACAATTGCAGCTTGTCTGCAATATGAGCGGTAAATCGTTCTGATTAATTTCATAGACATTACAACTTGATGACACAGGACAGAATCCTGTTAATGCGCATTTGAATACCGTTCACAATACCAAATTCCTTTCAGATACAAGATATGTGAGGTATTCCTTACTCGCATCCATTGTTTTGTGTTCTCTGTGCCTATTCAGCACGATAAATTTTAGGCATGCTCAACCAGAAGACCCTATTTATTTCTATTGTGTTTGTATGTAGTATTAGCAGCTCGCGAACGGCTTAAACTACGTAGTTTAGAATATAGACGGTGGCTCTTGCACTGCGCGGAATTTATGTTGCACAGCTTTTACGATAGACAAAACAACAGAGTATAAATAATGAATAGCAGGGTCTCTTCATATTTTACGAGAGAGCCATGTTGCCTAGCAACCCAAGTGACGAAGCCGTTGACTGCGTGTATGTCAGCTGACTGTCCCCATAAGTTCGACATACTTATACGATTACATACACAATTAAATTAGACAGATAAGAGTATAAAAACTGAATCGCACCAAAATAAAGCAACTTCTGACAAGAAGGTTATGATCAAGGTCACCGCGAATAAAAGAGAACCACAGAAACAAAGATATTCTATCTTTCAGCAACAACCCATTAACTAATAACCATTGATATGCTTGTTTCAATTCCATTGTCTCCGCATGGAACAGTTCTAATTGTTCTTTAGCTATAACCAATCATCATACATGACATATTTCTTGCCAAAGGAATCGTTTACATAAATCATGTATAAGAGTGGCCTCAGAATCGAACCTTGAGACACACCCTGTTCGCAAACACGGCTAGAAGACCCCAGATTTCTGCAAGTAGCTTCTGAACCATGAGAGCTGGAGGCCTCTAACGCAGTATGCCTCAAGCTTCTGCAGCAACAACTCACAATAGACGCATAAATAGTAACTGTGGTCTTATTCCACCATAATCCGACCACAAGAGGATTCCGCAAGCGACCTTACTTTTTGCTGTTCGTAAACTTTACAAAATAGTTTGCTCCGTATGCCGCATGGCTGTTGTATTTCCTTCTTTCCGCATTCCCGCTGCAAAACAAATCCGTCTGTGCTTGTTAGGGTTCTTTCAACAGCGCGCAAGGGAGAGGCTGTAATTTTGGCTGTTAGATTTGTTGAGTGTATTCAGGGTCTTCCAACTTTTACTTGGGTATGTACTGCGCAGTTTGTGATGAAGGATGTTTCTTATATGAGGGAATTTACTTTATGTTCAATTTGGATGACTGTTGATATGTGATCAGAAATAGAAGGCCCAAATAGTAATAGTTTATTTTTGTTTGTGACACAAACAATGTATAGAACTCGTCAAAAGTGAATATTTATAATAGTTAAGATATAAAATACTAACAAACGTAGACAAATAATTTACCAACAATTGAACCTTACAAACCATAAAATTTACAACTATGCATACTATTTACTTTAGCAATGCTTCTGATCACCCTTTTCTTCATTCTTCATTTAGAAATGTCGGTAGATTTCTATAGATGTATGAATTGCAAATTTAGAACCAACCTCATATCTGTGTTGAAATGGAAATTATCATCTAAATATACTGTTTTCCATTTAACCTCACATTCATCTGTTCTGTTGTGAAATCTTACCACAGCAGTTTTCTCTGAGTTTAAAACTAATTGATATTGTGCAAACTTTAACTGATTATTCGTCATGAGGATCTGATGTTATAATTGATGTAAAATTCACTTAGCTATTGAACTGTTCATCCAGATCATTTATATACAGTATAAATAGAAGAGGCCCCAATTTAGATCCTTGGGGAATTCCTATATCAATATCAACACATGACGTCCGGACTTTCTTTATTTCTGTGCCATAATTGTGTAATAAAGAAATATACTGTTTTCTATAAAAGGTTTGATCCATATGAGAGAACTACTAGCAATTCCGTAACTACGTAGTTTTTTAACAATATCTCATGATTGACGATGTGAATTGCCCCGTGGATGTGCATCAAAAACACCAAAGTGTCTTTCTTTGTGTTATACCTGTATGAAACCCAAGAGGGAAGCGTATTCATATTCACTTGACACAGCGATACGCTTAAAGAAAATATAAAAAACATACAGTCCCCCATGTTTATATCTTGTCGCGTTTGCTGTCAACAGCAGCTCACAATATTCATCTCGGTCTTGCCACTTCACATCCTCGAAACATCGCCCCATGCCAG